GCAGCGACGTCTCGGCGGGGGGACACTCGGTTACCGCTCCGGGTGTCACCCAGCCTCGGGACGCCCCTGCTCTATAGGTTGAACTCGATGGACTTGTGTCTCTTTTCAACCTGACTAACTATGTAACACCAAACTCATCACACCATGGGGTTGATTTATTAAAGGCAAAGAGGCTGTTCACTTTGCAAGGGGATTAGCTTAGTGAATGATGTGTAGCTCTGCTGACTTCCATCATCCAATCATGTGCAAGCAAAAATTTGTGTTTTTTTTTTCATTTTCCTTGCATGTGATTGGGAATTCTTTGCACAGTGAATTTTTTTACCACATTCAGTAAGATAAGGGAAATCCCCTTGCAAAGTGAACAGCCTCTTTGCCTTTAGTAAATCAACCCCATGGTGTGATGAGTTTAGTGTTACAGAGTACTGCCTGAATACAGCCCTGGTCTAAACCCTATCAACCGCCATTGGGATGAATCTGAACATGATCATGAGCCAGGTTTTTTACATCAATACCTGACCTAACAAATGGCTAGATGGACACATATTGCCACAAACACACTCCATATTCTTGTGGAAAGCCTTCCCAGGAGAATGGATGCTGTTATAGCCACAAATAGGGGGGCCAACTCCCCACTAATGCTTATGGTTTTGGAATGGGAAGTCCGATAGGCTTACATCAGTGTGATGGTCATAAGTCCACAAATATTTGGGCACATTATATATATAAGATGGCAATGACAAACATTCTCACTGTAGCATTGTGGGGAATTATGACATCAATATAGGATTGCACACTATCATTGTTATAAAGTCCTTATACAGAAGGTATGAAGACCTTTAATTTTAAAGTGACACTAAACTCCGGAGTTAAATCATAAAAATACATTCAAGTACTCAAATTATTAACAAAAATGCATCTTATTTGTGTATCACTCGGCTGAAGATCCTCAAATCATCTCTGAATTGGTGCTGACACTGTCCTTCTGGAGGGTGGCTACTTTTGTTCCCCATGGTCCCTGTGTGTGTTGTAAAGTAGACACCGCTCCAAGCTCGCATGATAGACTATAACTTCAATACCAATTAGCTAACTAAACCTGAGATTGTAGTCCATCATGGGAGTGAGCTTGGAGTGTTGGCTGCCTTACAACACACACATGGACCATGGGAGACAAAAGTAGCCCCCCTCCAGAAGGAAGCACAGCGTCAGCACCAATTCAAAGTTTATTTGAAGATCTATAGCTGAGTGATGCACAAATAAGATACATTTTTATTAATAGTTAAGGTATTTGAATGAATTTTTAAGATGTAACTCCTGAGTTTAGTGTCACTGTCGCTGAAATATAAAGATGTTCTTACCTTTCTCTTACCACGTATCGCTGCCAGCAGCGTTCGGAACATGGGCAACAGGACAAAACTGCAGTTCAAGTTGAGGACAGAGGCGGAAGCCCTGCTTATACACAATCCTAACTGGACAAATAGAACATGCATCAGAGCGGGATTCAAAACATCACAAAATACAGTCTGAGAAGAGCAAATCAATACAAACTCAGAAATCCATATCCTGAGATAGATGTCAATTATCTGTGAAATTGCTCATGCCCATGCCCATGCCCCCTTCTTAGACAGCTGTCGAAGGATCTAGCATTGGATGAGGTTAAGTAGCGACATGAGGCCTCTGCTAGCCTCTGAAATGTATTCTCTGTTCCGATTTTGAAAAGGGAAAAATCACAGGAGGGCGGCAGTAAATAGAAAACAAATTACTGTTTCTGCAATTCATTCCAGCTCTTGATATTACCCGTGCTCTGACAAGTTGCGCTTATTAGTTTTACACTTCTCCAGCCAAGGGGAATTTAAGAAACAATTTTTTACTTTTAAAGCAGCCTAGTCTGCCCTCCGCGGAGTTTAATTATGCCAGTGAATGCAAGTTTGTCAAACTGATGTACTGGAACAAGCCAAGTGACTGACCTACCGTGGAGAATGGATAAGCTATAACAAGTCTGATGCCAGGAAAAGTGCAGATGGGGGTCCTTATTTTGTACTAAGTACTGTTTGCCTCTAGGCACAAAAAGGCAACCACAACATTTGTTTCAGAAATAAAAAACTTTTTTATGCAAAAGAATAATGTGAGATTTATAGATTCTCCTTAGACGGCAAACTTCAGGCACATGTAAAAGAATTGTAGAAGGTTAAAACATGTGAGGGGTCACACCACTTCTTAGATCAAAAGGTTACATCACATTCATTTTGGTGCTGGATTTTTCAGGCCAAATCATTTGGCAGGCTGCATTTTAGTACACAGACTTCTTTTAAATACTATTTTAATCAGGTTGTGATAACTATTTGGTTAAAGTTTGAGTTTATGCAGTTAGGCTAGATGTAAGGGTTAGGTTTAGGAGGAGGTTTAGTCAGAGGGACAAGGTAAGGTTTAGGGGTTAGGCTAAGGCTGCAGTTTAGAGATTAGGTTAAAGCCAAACTGTGCTTAGTCCATGAAGCCCAAAGTAACAGGTTCACTTTAAATGTTAAAGGGTTTCTAAACCCTCCGTGTTTTTTTGCATATATCTACTGCTTGCAAGCAGTAGATATATGCAAAAAGTAATTTTTATTTAAAAAACGCTTTAAAAGACACTTACCTGTGTCTTCATCGTGCACTCCCGTCCGAAAATCTGAAACTGCTCGGGCGGCCGCAAAGCATATTGGGGCGGGCGCATGCGCAGTTCGGATTTTCGGCCGGGAGACGAGGAGAGACGCAAGGTAAGTCTATGGATGTGTGCACGCATGCAGACACCGTGGGACAGGAAGTGCTAGCAAGGACAGAGGAGTCAGCGCTGGATCGGAGCCCTGCAGCAGCGCTGGAGAGAAGGCTGAAAAGGACAGGAAAGAAGAAGAAGATGGGAACAGGGGGGAGGGAAAACAAATTTTACTTTAATGTCAGTTTCAGTTTACCTTTTGAACCAGGTTTCATGTTACACCCCTATTCACGGTATATGCCTCCCATGCAATGCCACAACCTCCTCCTTCTGACCATAAACCTTGGGGCATTTCTTACTTATAACGATGCCGGGGGAAGTTATATTCCCACTGACTAATAACCCTGAGACAAGTTTTTACTCCCATTGACCACTGGCAACAGTATGGCTCCACAGCAGTCAGAAGGATGGTGGACTGGCCCTTTGTTGAAAAAAAAATAGTTTTAGAACCCCCGTTCTAAATCTTCCACGCTGAATCCAAAGCTACAAAAATAATTGGGATGGAGTTGTGCTTTAAAATGTTGTACTGTATTGATAGCTTTACCTTGAACTGATCAAATACATGTTTTTAGAAATAGCAAAACTTTTAAAAGTCTGGAAAAAAAAATCAGAGCACACCCAGCCGCAGACCTGTAGTTTACACTGATAGACTAAAAGCTTCTGCAAGTTTATATATGCATCATATTGTTTGATAAATGTTTCCTGCAGTTTGACAAACATATTAATTAGTTTCCACAGGATCACATAGGGACCTCTCTCCATCTGAGGCTGCTTGATTACTTCGAGAAAATCTATAACGTCGTTAAGCAGTTCATACAACATTGATTTGCAGTCACATAGCCACGATTACGCATCTCTGGGGCATAGTCGAAAAATTGCTCTTCCAGCAGTTATAGGCAACTGTAAGTGAACATAGTAAACTTCCATCCAAAGAGCCAAAAGTGTATCTGACTGTAAACAGCTGATGTCTCCAGAGTGAACACATCTTGGGTGGGCAAGTCAAAAATGTCCAGATACATGAGCCTTAAAGTGACACTAAACTCAGGAGATAAATCTTTAAAATGCATTCAAGTAAATTACCAATTGACAATACTGGACCTTATTTGTGAATTACTCAGCTGTGGATCCTCAAACCATCTCTGAATTGGTGCTGACACTGTCTTTCCTTCTTGAGGATGACTACTTTTATTCCCCATGGTCCCTGTGTGTTTTGTAAACTAGCCACTCCTGTAATGGACTACAATCTCACATTTAGTTTACTGATTTGTATTTAGATTGTAGTCCATCAGGGCAGTGAGCTAGGAGCGGTGGCTACTTTACAACACACACAGGGACTAGGGATGCACTGATACTAGTATCAGTGCTGATTCCGAGTATATGGGCGAGTACTCGTAGTCGCCTAAATGCTCTCGATGCCTATCCTGATACCAGAACTTCCGGTATCAGGAAGCCGGGTGGCGAGTCAATACATGCTGCCCAGCTTCCTGATTGGCCGGGAAGCCGGTTCCATGCTCCCTCGTCACTAGGAAGCATGGAGCTGGCTTCCCGGACAATCAGGAAGCCAGGGGGCAAGTAATGACGGCTCCATGCTCCCTTGTCACTTGGTGATGAGAGAGCATGGAGCCAGCTTCCTGGCCAATCAGGAAGACGCACGGCGTGTAATGACTCGCTGCCCGGCTTCCTGATTGGTCCGGTAGCTGGCCAATCAGGAAGCCAGGCGCGTCGAATCATTACCTGCCCCCCCGTCTTCCTGATTAGCCAGAATGTATGTTTAATGTTACTTTAAAGTAGATTTAAACCCAATCGCTCAAATATCATATAAGCTTCAACACATTCATGTAATTCATAAAGTAATTTCCAATCATTTTGAAATACTGTATGCAGATTTCATAAAAAGAATACCACGTGATTCTGCCCGAGAAGGCACTTCCAGTTACGGAGTGACAACTGTCGACCAGTCATGCTACTCTGCTGTCACAAACACCCCTGATAGACAATACAAATGGCTGTGCCAAAACACATTGCACAAGTATGGTCCCCTCATGATTGTCCGTATCAAAAAGCCAGTGTAGAGCAATTATGTGCAGCTGACGATGGAGAGTGCATGTGGACAGGAAGAGTAATAACTTAGTGAGTGCAGAGTGTCATTGACCCAACCACTGGGGGACATCACCAAGGTGCCCTCCACTCACATGGTAACAGTGCACAGAGCAATTCTGATGTGTATCACTGAGGACCACCTATCGCCAGGAAAAGATCCTTGTCACATGGCCAGCCTTAAAACATCTGGAAAAGGCAAGTATTAAAAAAATATAAAAAATACAGTCTAAGGAGGCATCAGGGGGGAAAAGGGGGTCAATAGAGCAGTGGAGGTCAAAGCCTGGGCTTTAATCTGGTAAATGGATGGGTGAATCTGGATGGTGCAATTTTTAGAAAATTAGTGTTGGAAAAGTGACAGAAAACTGTTCATTTGCCTTTATATACCCTAAAATGTATATAGACACCAGTGGCATAGCTATAGCTATAGCAGCCCAGGTGACTGGGGGTGGAAGGGGACCCCATTAGGTTGTGGAGGCAAATTAAACAGAACATGTAAAGATAACTCTGTACTGTATCATTACAGTTTGTGGTGGTTGCTGTTGATGACAACCCTAATCCTCTGTAGAGTCTACAGCGTAGGAAAGCTGACGTCAGATGCAGAAGAAGAGTCTTTGGGATCTTTGTGTTGTTAGTCACAGCTCAGAGAGAGGTCATCAGATAAACATCACATTTTTGCTATGGGCCTCATGACCTGTAGTTATGTCCCTGATAGACAAGGACAAATGAAAGGCTTGTGTACAGGGGTTTTATTTGCCTGTGTTTAATGGGCATCTGAAACACAGGTCAGCAGATTTCCATTCACCCCAATGGCACAGTGTGGATGACACTTCTGGGCCTGTATCTGAGCTGTTTTGATTTATGTTTCTCTAAATTCAGCATGTCCTGTTAGAGATGCATTTGCACTGCAGGCAAAGCCAATCAAATGCAGCCTTCTGCTTTCACACACATGTGTTTGAGCTGTGCTGCATTAAAATATAAAATTCTACCTTTGGCACAAGCCCTTTGAGTTGTTCACCGCATTGTATCCATGCACTCTGTAGGCCTCCTGGAGCAGTGCCCAGCCAGTCACTATGTACAGTAATTTCCAACACAGAGCCCAGTGGTACACATCATGGATTGATTTTATTCTGTATTAGGAATAGGGATGAGCCGAACATCCCCATGTTCGGTTCTAATTTGATCGTTCGAACATGGAAAATGTTCTAATTCGAACTTAGAACTCAATGCAAGTCTATGGGGGTACAACTCAGAAAATTAAATGTCCCCATTTTGAAACTTAATATGTAATTCCTGAGTTTAGTGTCACCTTAAACTCATATCTCTTTTAAAATAGAATTTAATTTTGCTTCTAAGACTTTGTACAGCTAAAGAGATACAGTCGGTGATCCTTTTCTTATCAAAACACTGAGATTGCTTAAGTGATCCTAATACAAGCCGACTAGGGCAATTTTGGTTTGAGAAAGGACATGGTTGTTAGAATACACATTATTGTATTTATAGCAATAACTTGAACAGTATACATTTTTGGTCACTAGATGACGGAGTCTATAAGTTCTGTTATATATATATATATATGGTAGATATACTCTGTTGTATTGAATAAGATAGAAAATAAAGCTG